CAAGCACGACCCGATCGGGGGAACCCAGTGCAAAACATGCGTATATACGCTCAAATATCCCTCAACGTATGTCATGACACTCTCATTAGGAGAAGGTACATGTAATACCGCACCTTCTCCCCATCCGTAGTCTTTTCTGATCATTTCAAGGTTTTTCTTTCCCACTGATAAGACGATCCTCGAAACATGCACCCGGTGACCGGGAACATTGGGAGGCCTCCCCGACATGACGGCTCTCCTAGAGGCAGGGCACCCCGAGGCTCGCTCACCGGGAATCGGCGGTGAGTCGCTATTACCAACTAAATGCGGAGCACAAGAGGAACTCCTCTCTCCCTGATGATGGGACGTCGATGTAGCAGTCATGGCTATAATAGAATAGGAGGAGAAAGATGTGGATCTTAGAAAAAAATTTGAATTGAAGCAACGAACGAACTAACACGAAAGCCAGACTCTGTGGAAGGGATAATATGTCCAAGCAGTAGAATCGCCATTGGAAAGGGAAGTGAACAAATATATAGGGGCAAGGCAGCAATTGCCCGCCTACCCAAAAGGCCAATTAATTCTGGTCGCGTTAACATCACCCTCTCCTAGGGAAACGTGCTAGCAGAATCACCCCGGGGCCTCCCTGCACTAGATCAAACAAATGCTGCTACCCCGCGAAAGTCAAAAACTGCGAGGCCTCGGGGGTTCCCCGATATCGCCAACACTAGTCCGATAGGAGCTGCTGATTTAACCTTGGGGCATGGACTTCAGGGTCTTGGTTGCTCCATAAACAGATTTCTAAAGGTCAATGTCAAATGTCGAAAGTCAATACGTGAAAGTGAAGGAACAAAAAAGGAAAGACTGAAAAAACTGAAAGGAGGAAAGCCCCTCTTTTTTACATTGCCAAAAATGTACCCACAAAAGACATCTTTACAAAATCCATCCCACGAGGGCTGCATACAAAGGGAAAAGGAGGGGATACAAAGTAACTTGAGGACTACTCCTCACCACTACTATCTTTGCCCTTATCAGGGGCAATTAAAAGCGCCAGTTCTCTCTCCAATTTGCGGTCGACACCTTTGGCTCCGATTTCCTCCAAGGTCTCTCTCCTCGCCTCCACCTTAGCAAGGTTAATAGCTCGAGGCAGCGTTTTGTTTAACCTCGGACTTAGCCGCGGCGAAAGCAGCAACCTCCTTGCGAGCATCCTTGAGATGATCCTGGGATGACACCAACTCCCCACTTGCTACTTCATTCCGTTTCCAAAGCCCGGAGATCTCTGTGTTCAGTTGGCTAATCAGCAAACCATTCTGCTCGACCTACAAAAGGAAAATGAGCTAATTTATGTTGGAATACGGAAGCAAAGGTCGGGTACAAGTACGGCGAAATACATACGCAACAAGGCCAGCCTTTTCCCGTAGCGCTCTCTCCAGGGTAGCTCGAAACTCTCCTAATTCCTTCTCTCCTCGGGCAGAATGAGCCTCCGAATCCCACAGTATCGAGGTAAGCTTCCTATACTCTTTATGATGGTAAGAAAGCTCTTTGCGGAGTAGAAAGAGGGAATGATCATACATATCCTTGCACTGCGACATAGCGAAACTGTTAGGAAAATGAAGAACGAGGCCTGAATACAAAAAATAGATAGCACCTGCTGCAAGGACCCCTCCACTGCTTTGACGGCACCAGGAATGTCGAGACCGACGTTATCACTAACACTATCGAAGATATTGGCGAGTGAGCCTCCCCCCTTGAGAGGAATTCCTGCTTTGGTGGTGTTCGCATCTTGAGCATCTTCCAGCTCCCTCGATGAGACCTAGAAGCATGAGATGAAACCGCCCATATTGCCGATTTCTCTAAAAGGCAACCCATGCTCCTGAAAAGCTCCATGATCGATGGCAGCGGTCCCCCCAACAGAAACTACGTCGAACCCGGTTGTGCGATATAAGGCCGCATTAACACCCTTTTCAAGTCTCTCCGGTTCACAAGATCGACTGGAGTCAGCCGTTGTAGACTCAACACCCTCCGATCGAGGCACCTGTGAGGATCTCTCATAGGTACATATCCTTCATGCTAGCTGACATTCATTGTCATCCTCTTCCTCAGTGTCGGGATTCACCCCTGAAGTTGAAGCAAAGGTCCCAGTAGCAGCTCGATGACCGAGTGACCTAGGTTTCTTTACCATAGGAGGGCGACGGTTGCCTTGCCTTTACTCTTTTTGCCCTTGCCGGGATTCAAAGCCTCCACTTCGGCACCAGGGGGCGGCCTCATCTGTATATTCTCGCCAAGACCTGCACAAGCGTAGTAACCGTAAGATGTCATCACTAAGGGCGCAAGTAGAAACCCAAATACGAGGCGTAGGCGGTAAAGAAACTCTACCATGATTCTTGGACACCCATTGCTCCTTGGCCAGGTCGGTCCAAGACCGAATGAGATATGGGAATGCCTTGTCCAATCGCTCGATCCATCCCGACAAATTTGGAACCGCCTCAGGATACCAAGCAGCGGCTGCAGGAAGCACAGAGAGGTCATTATTTCAAAGGGAAAGTAGTAAAAAGTGGTTAAGGGAAAATTTCTTATGTTGCGTGTTCCATTTCTCCAGAAAGGGCATCCTCCGGACTGGGATGATATCCGGGGTCTTTACCTAGACAAATCTGCTCATCCACCCTTGATCCTTTCCCTTGTCAATGCTCGAGAAAAATGATTTCTTGGACCAGTGATGGAGCTTGATCAAATCTCGATAAAAACGAGGGCTATACATCCTGATCAAATGGTTGAGGGTAAAAGTCTCACCCCCAACCCCTTCGGTGAAATAGCAGAGCATCAATACTATCCTCTAGAAAGAAGGATAGATCTGACCAAGCATCACTTGGTACTTGTCACAGAAGTCAAGGATAACTGGATCTATCTTTGGGTGAGAGGATTTGGAAGAATTATCAGTACCCAAGGTGAACGGGTAGGTATACACGTAAAGGAAGCTGACCTTATGGTCCGTTATATTCTCATTGGGACCAGGAATCTCCACCCCCACTGCCTTGCTCCATCGGTAGTCTTTCCTCACCGTTTGTATATTGTTCACAATGCTGATATATCGGGACACGTGCTCACATCGGACCGGTGTTGATGAAGTGGTATCGATGTTAAAATCCTTTAACATATCAAGATTAGGCGGTGTACACTATTCTAAAGAAGGAATCGCTCTGGTTTTTTCCTTAGACGATCGAGATGATGATGCAACCTCGTTCTATCAAGGAACCGTTCTGGAAGTCCTAGCCATATCAATGGTAAAAATTTCTCAAAACCAAGAAGAAAGGGTATAAAAGACAATGGGTTCTAACTCATGAATTTGAATATGGGGTGAAAATAAGGAGTGTCAAACAGTCGATGTATTTATAGGAACCGCCTAGGCAGAGGAAAGGGCGAGCCAATAAGAAGTTCATGGTTTCCTCGATAATCGCAGTTGACGGCAACTCTTGCACGATTTTTGGAACATGGCATTTAATGATCTTATCGGTTGACGTCACGATAATGATGACCTCGGAATGACAGTTCAAAATCATTTCCTATCACTTCATTCCAGCAACATGGAGACTATCTGTATACGGTGAAATCGAAGGGTCTGATTTCTCGCCATTAGGTTTTTTTGGGGAGTCTTATTAAGATCTCGAGGTTGTGGGGTTGCGGACGAGTTCTCTCCCTCGAGGCTCAGTTACGCTTGACCCAATGATGAGCCCGAGGGTGGGGAATTCCCGAGGCAAGCAAATAGCACCGGCAGCGTCTAATATCATGTCTAGCCGTCCCATCTCCGTATTTTTACAATTAATGCATTTTGTACTGTGTTGTATTTCCCCTCTTATATAAAGGGGATCCTCACCACTTTGTAAAGGGTTGTTTTTTCTCCAAATATTCTACACAAGATCAGTAACAACTCTCTCTTTCTCTCTTTTCTCTCTAACTTACTCGCTCGAGGCTACATTTTTCATTTATTGCTTTCATACTTGTTCTTCGCTTATTGCATGATATTGGCCATAAAGAGCCTCCTTAATTGTATCCTAACTGTTATCCCTTTCTCTATTATCCCCGATAGCTCGAGCCTGATCCCATCGACCTCAAGGCCTCTCATTAGTCAGTCTGAGGCCCGGACAGTAAGTCCCTCGGTTTGATTATAACTTTGTTTTAGTTTGTATTTTGTCATTTAGATTCACATATCTAGCATCAACTGCCTTAACAACTAGCATAAAAATAGATCATGTATTTTTAGAGTCCCATTAACAAATTTAATTGTTATTACCATTTTCATGGTAAACAAATACCAGAACCGAGAGCTGGGGTTGGAGGTGGAACATGAATATTGGTGGGAGCGATCGTTGCACCCTTAGTAGATGTAGGAGCTAGTGCAATATGTTCTAGTATAGAAGAATCAGGTAATGTAATAGTTGGGGGATTATCCTGACCCGCACCATCAAGTAGAGAATCAACAGCCAGTCCTAGGGTGGCATTGGCTTCTTGGCCAATTCTTGCTTTCTTCTTAGGTGCCATTTACTGAAAGTTAGAACAAAGCACGACTTAGAGGAGAACAACCTCACATTCAACTCTATCGCATGATATAGATCAATATTGTCTCCTATGGAACCACCTACATCCATTTAAAGATGTAGCGCCCCAGGCAAAAGGGACGCTAGTACTGTCGAATAGCACTAGTATGTATAACGTCATCTCATTAGAAAGAACAATAATAAAAGATGAAGTAATCATGGATTCAACGGAAGCCTTAAACAACACTACAACATCAAATTAAGGATCATATAAGCTTTCAAGTAATATCCATCGCTTTAAACTGGGACATCATTAGTATCAATACCTAATCATTCTCAATACCACCATACTTTTATACGGAGTCCGATCACGACCCGAACGGCTAGGTCGTTCCATTGGAGACATTCACCATAATCACAATTCCAGTTTCTATTTCCAGTTTCAATTTCCAATTTCAATTTCCAGCACAGTACCACCATGTGTGCCCCATGGCGTTTGATCATGGCCCGATCGGCTAGGTCATCTCAGCCAAGACATTACCATTTTCCATCGATCCTCTCAGCCTCTTAACTTCCTCACCTAAGCCCGCTTGTGGCGCATAAGCGCTAACTACATTGAGGGTGCACTCACCAATGAGAGGGTTTGGACGAGATTGTGTGTAGTATTCCACCTACTGAAAGGTTATTTATTGGAGGCGATTTTAATGGCCATATTAGGTCGGCTGCTAGTAGTTATGGCGAGGTGCATGGTGGCTTTGGCCTTGGGGATAGGAACGGAGGAGGTACTTTGCTGTTAAACTTCTCTAAGGTTTTCAAGCTGGTGATTGCGAACTCGACTTTTCCGAAGAGGGAGGAGCATCTGGTTACTTTCCAAAGTTCGGCGGTGAAGACCCAGATTGATTACCTTCTCCTCCGAAGGTATGATAGAGGGTTGTGCAAGGATTGTAAGGTTATCCCGGGAGAGACCTTTGCGAGTCAACATAGGCTCTTAGTAATGGACATCAGCATTATGATGAAGAGGAAGAAGAGGTATGCTCGTGGCCGATCGAGGATTAGATGGGGAGCTTTAACCAAGGATAAATCCGGGAGTTGGAGGGTATATTATCCTCTATGGGATATTGGAGGAGTAGTAGAGACGTGAGCACTGTGTGGTCAATGACGGCAAACTATGTGAGGGAGGCGGTGAGAGAGGTGCTAGGTATATCGAAGGGTTTTTCTGGTAGGCACCAAGGCGACTGGTGGTGGAATGACGTAGTCCAAGGTAAAGTGAAGGCAAAGAAGGTAGCGTATGGGAATAGAGAGAGGTACAAGGTGGAAAGGAAGGAGGCAAAGTTGCCGGCCACGGAGGCTAAGAATGTAGCATTTGGTCGTCTATACGAGGAATTGGGGTAGAAAAGTGGGGACAGGAAGTTTTTTAGCTGCCTAAAGTGAGAGAGAGGAAGTCTCAGGATCTGTACCAAGTAAGGTGCATCAAAGACGAGGATGGTAGAGTATTGATAGGAGAGTCCCAGATTAAGCAGAGATGACAAAAGTACTGCTACGGTCTTCTAAACAAGTAGGGGGACCGAGATATAGCGCTAGGGGACTTTGGGCGTTCGGAGAGTCTCCGAGATTTTAGTTGTTATAGGTGCATTAAGGTGGAGGAGGTCGTGGGGGCTTTGCGTAAGATGAGTAGGGGTAGAGCGACCGGGCCAGATGAAATTCAGGTTGAGTTTTAGAAGTGTGTGGGTAGAGTAGTATTGGAGTGGCTGACTGGATTGTTCAATGTGACTTTTAGGACGAAGAGGATGCCGGAGGAGTGGAGGTCATGTACAGTGGTACCATTGTAAAAGAACAAAGGTGATATCCAGTGTTGTAACAATTATAGTGGTATCAAGTTACATAGCCATACCATGAAAGTTAGGGAGAGGGTGGTGGAAGTGAGGGTAAGGAAGACGATATCTATATCCAACAATCAGTTTGGGTTCATGCCTGGTTGCTCCACTACGGAAGCTATCCACCTTTTTATGAGGTTGGTGGAATAGTACACGGATAAGAAGAAGGATCTACCCATGGTGTTTATTGATTTGGAGAAAGTGTATGAAAAGGTCCCTAAGGAGGTGCTCTGGAGATGTCTTGAGTGAAAGGGCGTGCCGGTAGCCTACATAAGAGCGATCAAGGGCATGTATGATGGAGCTAAGACTAAGGTTAGGACTGTAGGAGGTGACTTAGAGCATTTCCCGGTTTTTATAGGATTACACCAAGGCTTTGCGCTTAGCCTGCTCTTATTTGCCTTGGTGATGGATGCATTGACATACCATATTCAAGGGAATGTGCCATGGTGTATGTTATTTACTGATAACTTAGTTCTAATTGATGAGACGAGGGTCGGTGTTAACGATAGATTGGAGGTTTGGAGACAGACCCTCGAGTCTAAGGGTTTCAAATTGAGCAGGTCTAAGACAGAGTACCTAGAGTGCAAGTTTAGTGCTGAGTCGAGGGAAGTAGGCAGAGACGTGAGGCTTGGATCTTAGGTCATCCCCAAGAGAGATAGCTTCAAGTACCTTGGGTCGATGATTTAGGAGGACAGAGAGATTTACGAGGACATCACTCACCGTATAGAGGCGAGCTGGATGAAATGGAGGCTTGTATCTGGAGTCATATGTGACAAGAAAGTGCCACCGATACTAAAAGGTAAGTTTTATAGAGTTGTGGTTAGGCCGACCATGTTGTATGGGGCAGAGTATTGGCCGATTAAGAACTCCCATATCCATAGGATGAAGGTAGCAGAGATGAGGATGTTGAGGTGGATGTAAGAGCATACTAGGATATACAAGATTAGGAATGAAGATATTTGGAAGAAGGTGGGAGTGGCCCATGTGGATGACAAGATGCGGGAAGCGACGCTCAGATGGTTCGGGCACGTGCGGAGGAGAAGCCTTTATGCTCTGGTGAGGAGGTGTGGGCGGTTGGCCATGGTGGGTACGAGAAGAGGTAGAGGGAGGCCTAAGAAGTATTGGGGAGAGGTGATCAGGCAAGACATGGTACGACTGCAGATTTCCGAGCACATGGCCCTTGATTGGAAGGTCCGGAGGTCAAGCATTAGGGTTGTAGGTTAGGGGGTAGTAGATCCTTCCTTACTTCATACCAGGGGGGTGAGGCGGGGTTGGATTAGGGTTGATCTTAGATGGCTTGAAGTTTATGTTTAATCCACATTGTCCTTGATGTTTATCTCGGCCCTGGGCCTTATATACTGGTTACTGTTATTGCATGTCATTTATCTTTTGGTTGTTATGCTTCTGTTACTATTAAGGTTTCTACTGGAGTTATTAATGAATTGTTCTTTCTTGTTTTTATTTTTGTCTTTTTGAGTCGAGGGTCTATTAGAAATAGCCTCTCTGCCTTATCGGGGTAGGGGTAAGGTCTGCATACACATTACCCTCTCCAGACCCCACTTTGTGGGATTTTACTGGGTAGTAGTTGTTGTTGTTATATATCAATTCTTCGGCACTAGTGGCCACAATTGCTATACCATACCTTGGCTCTTGGCCGTATTTCATAATGCATGTTCTTTCCCGCATTTCTCATTATTTTTATTTTCAACAAATAAGCCTTTCAATTCAAGATATTGAGTACACACGAGAGCAATTACTGATCATAGGTAAGTAGAGGCCTTCACATACTTTGGCATAACAACCTTTATTCAAACTCGATTGGAAGTCTAGGAATTTTAGCACATATTTCATATCTTTAACACATCTTCAAATGAAAAGATAGCATAATGGGAACACTGAAATACATATTGCACACATATTCTTGCAACACAAGCGCATTTGGAATAGCAATTCTACATCAATCAATTTTGGAACTTACACCAATTGCGTAGACATCAAGGGAGTTCAATTTCTATGAAGAGGGGATTTTAGCCATACATACATGAAATTCTCCCCATAATAATTCTATGTGTCCACCACACTAAACAACTTCAATCTACAACAATGCAACACATTTGTAACTATATTAGTAAGATTTCTATACTTTAAGTCATTTAGACTTTTTATCAAACATCTAATGTGCATATCTTTCTACAACATCCTTCAATGGAATTTCTTCACCTAAAAACCACCTTTCATACCAATGATTCACCTTACAATCATCTCTAGGCCATCCACAACTTCCATTAGCACATGCATACCCAATAATTCACACCCAAACCATCAATCTCCTTAATTAACCCATTTGACAATCTCTACAACACCCACACAACCTAGGTTAGGCACTTATGACTTCTAATCACCATCCCATAAGTCCTAACATATATTTCATACATAAATAATCATCATAGAGTAGTTAGAGAAGGTAGACATACCTCTTGTAGTAAGACTCTAGATAATCCCCACTTGTAGTGTTCTTGACCAATTTGGGGATTTGAATGGAAATATATGGATCTTCATGATTAATCCTTGTTAATATAAGTTTTTAGGAGTAATAATCAACTCAAAATATTCCAAAAACATTACCTTGGTTCATGGGAGGGAAGTATGGGACGGATTCCCCTTGATAGAGTAAGCCCTAGCTCAAAGAAATGACTTAGACACTCTCCTACCTAGCCTTGCGGGTATTTATATGTCTCCTATTTGCAATCGCGCACTTGGGCAAGTAGCCACGCATTTGGCCGCGCACACAAGGCAAAAACTCCCAAGTATGTGCGCTCGCAGACTTGGGCGCGCATATTAGATAGGTCCAGTAAAATTGTCATAACTTTCTGTATACAAATCCAAATGAGGAACGGTTTGATGAGTTGGAATCTAGACTCAAAGAGATTTAATTTGATAGGTAGATCACCTCTTAAATCTTTATATTTTTGCAGAACCATTCGTTTGAAGTCCAATCGTGTGCGAAATTTTCCTGAAACTTTAGCCCATTGCATAGTTCCCAACATGGCTTAGTCCTAGGGATCTCCTTAGGCCCTCAACAGTATCCAATACAACTCCTAAATGTATTTTCATGATCATCTAAGTTTTTATAGTCCTTAAACCCTCGTGGAAGGCTAGACGACACTTAAGCGACTTGTGAGTGTGCTTGTGGTCTCGAACTAATATGGAATTTTTTTTGTTGAGGGGACTCACATCCTCCCCCACTTAAGATCATTCGCCCTAGAATGAGGGTCAAAGATCCTTATTAACATCAGGGGTGACTCAACTACCAGGACACACACCAATAGTCCCAATTTAAACTAACTCCATAAAATTTGCAAAATTTCGCCAGAGTTTTCATGCCTGTAGGTGTAGGTACATAGGCTGACGATCCCCCATCTTAGAATCCTTGCTCAACGAGAGTTGGTGTTCTCCATTTGATCTAGAGTTGCTATTGAGTTTTGGTACGATACTTTTGTATAAATATGGGTATGATGGGGCCTAGTCTCGTCCTTGATTCAGTTGTACACTCTGTTAGAGGTCTATAGACAATCATNTATATATGTGTGTGTGTGTGTGTGTGTGTGTGTGTGTGTATATATATATATATCTTTTGGGCATTTTTCCCACGTATGTTGTTCATATGAATCAATAGTTTATTTCCAGACATTATCTTAGGGGTGTTTGATAGGTAGAACTCGGGTACTCGTCACGGCCCATCGGTTTGGTTCATGACAAAAGTGGTATCAGAGCAATTCCATCCTAGGGTTCTACAAACCGTTTCTAGTAGAGTCTTGTTTAAGAGTGTGTTGTGCACCATACTTATAAACCGGGGCCTGCAGGACATATATGATGTTATCCTCCCTTCTTATCGTAGATCTTGTGATAGAAGGACTCATTTTCCTAATGATGTGTTATATTTTAAGTGATGCCCAAGAAGGCTACAGCCGCCTAGAAGGGTAAGTTCGTGGCTGATAAGACTACAAGTCGAGCGCCACGAGTTACTAGGGCTCGAGGAGAGTCGCATCGTAAGACTCAATCTCAGACTTCACAAACCCAATCTTCTCCGGAGGAGATCCTAGGGGCACCATCTCCAGCGCCTGCTCTAGTACCCCCAGCTCCACAGCCAGATGCACCGGGTCAGGAGATGAGAGATGCTATTCAGCTATTGACTCGATTAGTGGTTGCACTGGCTAGGAACTAGGAGGTAGGTAATTGTCATGTAGAAAGTGCAATCAGTGCGAGG